GGAGAAATTTCCCTATTTTCATTCATTAAGAATCCTTGGGAAGAAAAGCTGCAAAGTAAATCAGTGATTATTTAAATAAGGCTTTAGTTTGAATTCAGGTACCTAAGCAAGAACATTTATCCTTTCTTCTGTTTTATGAAGCATGGAAAGACTAACACAAATAATTTACTTCTTTTAGCGTATACTTCTAAAAAATATGTTTCCAATTTAAACAAATTTGATTCCTTTATAAATTATTTGATTTTGTCAAATTTTTGTCTTCTCACTGTAATTACTTCAAGTAACAAAAGAGAATTATCAACTGTCAGACTTCTCTTAGCTATGTAATATATTTTTTCCTTGTCTTAATTTTATAAAAAAATAATATATTGTGAAATGGGTTTAAACAATTAAAGGTATACGCTAACCTCACTTTCTGTGCCAGTAAACCAATTCCTTCTGGTTTTCCTTATGCACTTATGTGAATAAATCCTAGATATAAATGATTACATAATCAACTTGCATATAATTATGTTACTTCCTTTTTGTTTCAAATTATTCTCTTCAAAGCAATTTCATACTCATCAGAAATGACCCATTTTCAAGTAATGGACAATCTGTTCAAATTTTATGACAATATTAGACACATTTCCGTTCCATTCACTATTTATCTTCCAGAGGAAAGTGCAAAACCTCTCTGGTAACTGGCAGAATACAAAGACCCTGGGCGTCCTAACCTCCATGAGGGCTCTGTTCCTGGTTTCCAGGTGAGACCTTTGCACATAGCTGTCCTAAGTCATTCACACTCATGGCTGCCCTACCATTCTCTGCCACTTCTCTCTCGTGGGCCTGCTTCCTGGCTTCCTCTTTAGACTCCGGGCATCCAGGGCTGACATCCTTCCCTCTGATATTCAGTGTCACTGCCCATAGTTTTGCCCTTGCCAGAAATGCATGCCATTCCAAGACTAATGGAAACTTTGAAACCAAGACTGGAAGGAACACTAAAAATCAATGGGCTCAACCCTTTCATTTCCAGCATGAAGATATGGAGAACCTGAGAGATTCAATAATTTCTTAAAATTACGCATGTAGTTGATGGTAAGCTGGGATAACCCTCATACTCCCGAGGTGAGAAGGTTGTCTTAGCTTGAGTTCCTTCCGGAACAGACCCTAAGCCAAGTACTGGGTAGAAATGGTTTACTTGAGAAGTCATCTCAGGAGATATTATGAAAGGGCAGGACTGTGAGACAGCTGACCTTGTGGACTTCTGGGGCCCAGTCTTGCTGGGAAACCTCTGAGGAACTCTGGAAATTGAGAGATGCTTTGGAACCATTCTGCCATGGGGCCAGGATTCTAGAATATTAATCTATCATCTCCCATCCCCCCTTGGTTAGTGGCAGCTCTGGCAATACTAACTACTTTTTGCCCATGTTTGAACTGGCTGAGATTCTCCTATGGCCAGCAAATGCCCTCAGACTGAGAGGAAGTCACTGGTGTATATAGAATCTATCTGCACACAACTTCCAGTGTAGGCCAAGGGGAAGCAAATAGGTATAGGATCCATCAGAGGAACACATGATGCACCCAGCAGAAGTGGTCCAGGTCAAGGTCTAGCAATGGCTCTAACTTCTTCAGATTTTCAAATAAAATTTATGTGACAAGGGGAATCTCTTTTAGTTACAATTTCCATATGAAAATTAGAATATAGTTGATGCTTTATTTTTCCCCAGTGGCACAGTAGCTGGGATTACCATAGCTCTAACTCTCCCAAAATTGCTTGACCTTAAGCTGTTGTGGCCAAAGGATGGTTTTGGCTATAGCAAGATCAAAAACCAGCTCCATTTGTCACAGAAACTGAAGCTCATGAAATAAAAAAGAATTCTAGGACTTTGAAAGAAAGGTCTCCTTCGTCTGCATGAAGGAACTGTGAAGCTAACTCTGTCAAAACTATATATATATGTATACATATATATATAAAACAAAGTTGGGTGAGATACAGATTTAGAAGGTCTGAGTTAAGACAGCAGATATTTCCTTCCAAAGCCATAAATCCAGGAAGCACAGAATCCTGAATAGAGTTGTCAGATAAAATCCAGGATGCCCAGTAAAATCTGAATTTCAGCTGAATAATAACTAATTTGGGACATACTTTTGCTAAAAAAAAAAAACTCACTGTTGATGTGAACTTCAAATTTCAGTAGGTTTAACTAGGCTAGGCTTCGTGCATTTTTATTTGCTAAATCTGGCTACCTTAGTCTTGGACCAGTCATGAAGGTTCTTCTGTGTGTGTGTGTGTGTGCATGTGCACATGTGTGTCCTGATGGACTGAGCAAGACTCCGTTCCTACAATAAAATCCAGAGCTAGCTAGTTTTACAATGGTTATTAGAATGAGCATTATCACAATGCAAATGATTTAATATATACAAAACCTTAAAGACTCCACAAAAAAAGTAAATGAATTCACTAAGTTGCAGGGTACAAAATCAATATACAAAAACCTATTGTATTTCTATTCAATGACAAAAAATATCAGGAAGAAAAATATTTTTAAAATCTCATTTACAATTGCATCAAAAGAATAAAATGCTTAGTAAGAAATTTAACTTTAATTTGCCTAGCAACAAGCTTAACCAATGAAGTGAAAGACCTGTATGCTGAAAACTGTAAGACACTGACAAAAAAAAAAAAAACTGAAGAAGACACAAATAATTGAAAATATATTTAATTCTCATTGATTGGAAGAATACTGCTAAAATGTCCATATACCTAAAACAATCAAGATATTCAATGCAATCCCTATCAAAATTCCAACAACATTTTTCATGGAAATAAAACAAGCAATCCTAAATTTTGAATGGAACCACAAAAGACCCCAAATAAACAAAGAAATCTTGAGGAAAAAAGAATAAAGCTGGAGACATCAAGATGCCTGATTTCAATTCATATTACAAAACTACAGTAATCAAAACAGTACAGTATTGACATAAAAAACAGACATATAGATCAATGGAATAGAATAGAGAAATAAACTCAAGCATAAATTTTGGTCAATTATTTCACAACAAAGGCCCCCAGAAGATACAAGGGGGAAAGGACAGTCTCTTCAAAAAAAACAGTACCAGGAAAACTAGACAGGAACATGAAAAATAATGAAATTAGACTGCTATCTTTTACTTTACATAAAAACCAACTCAAAATGAATTAAACACTTGAATATAAGATCTGAAGCCATAAAACTCCTAGGAGAAATCATATGTGGCAAACTCCTTGACATCAGTCTTGGCAATTTTTTGGATCTGAGTCCAAAAGCAAAAATAACCAGTGGGAATGTATCAAACTAAAAGGCTTCTGCACAGCAAAGGAATCATCAGCAAAATGAGAAGGCAATTATCAAATGGGAAAAAAAAAACACCTGCAAAGCATATATCTGATAGTGGATTAATATCCAAAATATATAAAGAACTCATACATCTCAACAGCAAAAAGATATACATCTGATTTTTAAAAAAAGGTCAGAGGTTTTCTTTTTCCAAAGAAAACATACAAAAGGCCAAAAGACACATGAAAAGATGCTCAACATCACTAAGGAACTGCAAGTCAAAACCACTATTATCAAAAAGACAAGAAATAACAAGTATTGGGGACAATGCAGAGAAAAAGGAATCCTAATGCACTTGTTGGTGGGAGTGTAAACTGTCACAGCCACTGTGGAAAGCAGCACGGATATTCCTAAAAATAATTAAAAATAAAACTTACATATGATCCAGCACTTCCGTTTCTGGATATTTATCCAAAGAAAACAAAAATACTACCTTGAAAAGATATATGTACCCTTATGTTCATTGAAGCATTATTTACAATAGCCAAGACATGGAAACAACCTAAGGAGTTGTTTCCTAATTCGTCATTGATGGATGAATGCATAAAGAATGTGTGGTGCATATATATGTTGGAATGTTGTATATATTCCACAAAAAGACCAAAGAATAATACAATCTTGGCCATTTGTGACAATTTGGATGATCTTGAGGGAAAGATGGTAATAAAATAAGTCAGACAAAGACAAATGTATGATTTCACTTACGTGTGTAATCTAAAAGTCATTACAAATAAAACAAAACTTACAGACAACAGGACAGTGGTTGCCAGAGGGGAGGGGGCTTGGGCACCAGGTGAAATGGGTGAATGGGCTCAAGAGGTACAAACTTCCAGTTATAAAATAAGCAAGTCACAGGGATGTAATCTATAACATGGTAACTATAATCAGTAATATTGGGGTACATATTTAAAAGGTGCCAAGAATGTAAATCTTAAAAGCTCTCTTCACACACACACAAAAAAGGATTTTAAACTTTATATGGTGATGGATGTTAACTGTGGACTTATTGTGTACATCATTTGACAGTATTTACAAATATTGAATCATTATGCTGCTCACCTGAAATGAATATGTCAATTACACTTCAATAAAAAAAATGGATGCTGAAAAGAAAATTTCTGTAGAAATTCTAATCACAGAAACAATAAATACTTGCAGGTAACCAGGGAGGATAACTGTAAATGTACAAGATAAGATGGAAATATTAAAATTATTAGATGCTATATTTGACAGGAAAGCAACGTTACAGATGTCCATTTTTCATTAAGCTTGGCCTGCTGTAAGCAGACCTTATGAATTGAAGGTAAAAACATGTTTAAAAAAATCTTGCCTTATTACGTAAATTTGCTTTTCACGTAAACTCTACAGAGGCTCTCTTCTAGGAAACTAAAATTTTAATAAATCACATAGCTGCATTGTTCTCTTCCAGGAATATATTTGATTTTTTTCAAGTATGAAAAGCCTAGCTATTTTGTATTCAAAAAAGTAAACACTTCAAAAATATTAGGTAAGATTTTAAACCTTTTCTCATTTGAAGCTTCAGTTCTCTCTTATCTGCAAACCATGGCATGTGTATGTACGTAATACACATATACACAGTTTGTTTTCCAAATGAAAGCAAATAGCATAAAATATACTAACCTTATGTTGCTGTACTTGGCGTTTTAGGTCCTCAAGATCAGGTCCAAGGGGCTCTTTTTCCATTCTCCTTGTTCTCTCTTCTGTTTTTGTTAACCAGTCATTTAACTCTTTCAGTTGCTGATTCTGGAGATCCATGAGAACTTTATGTAAACTGAAAATTTGAAAGATACCTATTATTGCTTCTGTCAAAATAACTTTACTATTATTAAACCTATCACTAGGTAAAACTATTGACATTTGAATGTGTGTTAACATGGCTTGGCATGTGCTGGACATTAAGAAAGAAGGTAAATAAAACCCATAATCAATCACCTCTGAAGGTATTCTTTCTTCAGCATTTGATAGTCCACACATTCCAAATTCAGAACATTTCACACAGTTAACTAAATGTGAACATGATAAATAAAGTGAGAGCCATCTCTGGTAATTGAGCTAGTAATATATCCTGGCAATTGTTTGTTTTTATGTCCATTATTTTAATATATGTGTGGTGATAAAACATGGCTACAAATTCTCTGTCATGCCATTAAGAGATGGAGTCAATGTTCCATGCCCATGAATATGGACTGGCCTTGTGATTTGTTCTGACCAACACAATATGGCAGAAATGACATTATACAAGTTTTAAGCGTAAGCTGTAAGGGAATGAGCACCATTTGCATTCTGTCTCTCGGGACGAAGCTGTAAGGAAGCCCAAGCTGACTACCAAATGATTAGAGACCATCCTGAGAGTAACTCTGGAGAATAAAAAGCAATCTTAAAAGTTAAGCTTCCTGATGAATGAAGCCCAATGAGTGACCCCAGCTATACCACAATCTCAGAACAACAACCTAGATGAGCCCTGACCATATTCTTGATCTACACACTCAAGATGGAATTATAAATTTTTGTACTAAGCTGCAGTTTGGGAGTCATTTGTTATGCACAAATAAGATAAGTGAAAGGGTATTTTTTTTCTTTTTGTCAAGGATGTATACATTAGTGGGCCGGGCAATGGATTTAAAGTCCAAACACTTGGTTTTAGTTCACAGCCTGGCTATACGCCTTAGAACCAAGTTCTTAAATCTTCTCAGTGTGAATATCAGCATGACAGACATGAGATGACATCTTGCTTATCAATCACACAACTTCATAGTAAGGATGAAAAGTAAAATTTAGGTTATTTCATCTATTAATTAAAAAAAAAAAAGCTGAGAGACAAATGAGAAGTGTTAGTACAAGTTTTAAGGTAAATATTCTTTATGAAGGCATGTTTAAAGCATTTTTGAGAACCATAGTATACTGCACACTGATCTTAAAATGTCAATACAGAAGACATAATTTTAATTATTTATTATTCTTATTTATAAAATTTTTTACCAGAAATTTCCATTAATCAATATATTTAAACATACAAAATATACACATAACTGAGAGTGTTTAAAATCATTTAGGTTATACTATTTATCATTACAGCTTTAACCTTTTAGAGACACAGGTCCCCTGAGGCACATTGTAATCAGAAGTCCATGAGAATGAGCTTTCGTTTGTCAAACAGAAAAAGTAGACATTTTCATTTTATGGGAAGCAACATAGATAAAGCATCCATTTAAGTGGAAGCAAAAACCCAAAGTTGCTTGTTTAAGTTTCTTAGACAATGAACACCATCTTGGCATTGCAAGGTATATAAATCTTTTACTTTATTGGTTCAGTCTATCCCTTGAGAACTGACTTGATAATAAGATTTCATGAGAATTGGCTACAATATAATTCCTTGTGTTTGCTGTTTTTCCTGCCTGGTTTGTTCTTACATTGAGCTAAAATCTCACATTTCAGAAACTAAAGAATAAAAAAGTCCATATTATTATTTATAGTTGAAGAAATGTTTCAAGTTAAACATACATGTGTTAGTGTTAATAAGGAATTTCATTTTAAAATATCATTTTTTTTTAACTTTTGGAGAGATGTTTCATCCAACAAATATTTACTGGACCCCCACATCTATTCTAGAAACTCCTATTTGTTAGAGATGGACAAAAGAAAACATCCTCATATTCAAGTAGCTTAGAGAGTTTTAAGGAAATATCTATGTCAACAATTATAATAGAATGAGGAAATCATTATAGTTACATTTGTGTATATTCAGAGGGGACATAAAAATGGCTCCACGTTGACCTGGGCTCTTTATGAATGATGTCATTACACAGCACAGAGCCTGAGAGTTGAGACTTGAAGAACTGAGTCACATACTTATTAAATGTGGAATTACTGAGTACTTAGATACTATGAATGGTGAAGTGACAAAGATCCTTACAGTCATGGAGCTTACCTTCTGAATGGGGGTCACAGATAATATATAGCTCATGAGGCCATTAATTCATTGTAACTGTGATCATGCTTTGAAATGAAAGTAACTGAATTGAGTTCATGACGTAAGGAAAGATGTTTCTGAAACACTAACATTTGAATAACTCTAAAGCCTTAAGTAAGAGGAGGTAGTGAAGAGGATGGGGTAAACACTTTCTAAATAGAAGGAATCACCTGTGCAAATTTCCTAAGGCATTAGAGGACCAGGAAGGCCAATACAGTTTGATGATATAAGGTGTGGGAGAGTTATACAATGTCATACCCTACACTAACCCATGAGTTCTGGGAAATTTCTTGAGCTCTGCCTGAAAATGTGACCTTTTATGTTTAACAGTGATTTCACCTGATGAACCTAGACTCAGAGACGAATCACTAAGAATGGATGTACCAAAAAGTACTTTCTCAGGTATCGCATCTTTTATAGGTGGAATGTAAAAATATGAAACTGAAGGTTCTTGGAGGAGGGGCTGGCATGGCTGGGTGGAAAATGGTGTATGGGGACAGTGAGTGTGCAGCCTGTGTGGTTCAATATCTTACTGACTGGTACAATCACATCACTGTATCCTAGCCAAAGAAATCCCTGCTTTACTTCTCTAGACCAACTTGAAACAACAGCATCATTCCATCCTCTTGGGGGATGTCTTAGTGTGTGTGTGTGTGTGTGTGTGTGTGTGTGTATACACATTGAGCTTATGTGTGTATATACACATACATATTTATATATAGTGTGCATATATATGATTTTAATGGATATAAGAGATCATATTGCTTAGGATGAAAAATCAGCTAAAATTAAGTAAAAATTTACTATTTTAAGGAAAAGTATTAAATATATAATGATAAAGACAAGTGCAGAGATAGGAGAAATTGTGAAAGTGGAGCATAATTAACTTGTGTTTGAAAAACACTTAAAAGATTACATTTGGTCCTCATTATCACTTAATGTAGTTAATACTATTATTTCAATTCTGAGGACACTGGAACTTGGAAAGGCTTAAGAACTTGCTCAGTGTATCTCAGTGACATGTAAGTCAGCATATAAATGCTAAGCTGTGACCCAGGTCTGTGCTCTTAACCTTGAATCATTTCCTTCTTTATTGATAAAATGTTATACTAGGTTGGTTCATATGAAGTTGCTGGTGTTTGAGGTTTTTATTCTGTAAAAATGATACTTTCATTCTGTTCAACTGAAAACACTATTAAAATGAGAAAGTCCACATTTCCAACTAACATTCTCAAGATGCAAATAAATTGGGGAAATTAATCAAATTCATAAAATAAAAATCTACCACCCACAGGCAAGGAAAGAGTTTGCATTTTTCTTGGTTGCAGTTTATGGTTTTCAAGTGGTTATTTAGAAAGGGACATAAAATCAGAGGGAGAATGGAGCATAAATATATGACTGGCACTCGAGAGAGGCGGCGGCTGAATTGGAATAAAAGAGCTCCAGACAGGAGACAGTCCTGACAAAGTCTAGAGACAGAAGCATGTCAGGATATGACAGGACGAACTGCTGCAGCCAGCCTCCCACTGTAAAAGTATCTGAGGACAGATGGAGACTAGAGAAGCCAATACATGGAAATAGCTTGCGACCCTGACGACACATCTGAGTCACAGACTGAATGGTTTGGAGTCACTCCAACTGTGGATTTATTGTAATGTAAGATGCTAGATAACCTATGGCGTTAGCCAGTGCCTCCCAAACTTTAATGTGCATATGAGTCACATGGGAATATGTCCTCATGGATTTTAACTCGGTGGGTCTGAGGAGGGGGCTGAGATTCTTCATTTCTAGCAAATGCCCAAGGGATGCCAATGGTACTGGTGCATGGATCACACTTCAGAAAGCCATGCTGCAAACCCCTTTGAGTCCAGTTGTTTGTTAGGGGCAGTAAAAAGCACCTTAAGGAATACCATTTTCAAATAACTGTATATGGAGGTCTGTCTCCCACCTCACATCCACTGCCGGAACATCACCTTCATGAACAGAAAAGAGATCAACGCAAACATAGGGTTTGCTTCACAGAGACTCTGCTGTGATGTCAAAGTTGCTCAGTCATGACTTTCAGTGAAAGCAAAAGTCGCTCTTCGTGACCCCATGGATTATACAGTCCATGGAATTCTCCAAGCCAGAATACTGGAGTGGGTAGCCTTTCCTTTCCCCAGGGGATTTTCCCAACCCAGGGATTGAACTCAGGTCTCCCTCATTACAGGCGGATTTCTTACCAGCTGAGCCATCAGGAAGCCCAAGAATACTTGAGCGGGTAGCCTATCCCTTCTCCAGGGGATCTTCATGACCCAGGAATCGAACCAGGGTCTCCTGCATTGCAGGCAGATTCTTTATCAGCTGAGCTACCAGGGAAGCAGTTTCTATTCTAGAAACTGCTCTTATTCAGTTGCTTAGCCATGTCTGTCTCTTTGTGACCCCATGGAGTGCAGCATATCAGGCTTCCCTGTCCTTCATTATCTCCTGGAGCTTACTCAAACCCATGTCCATTGAGTCGATGATGTCATCCAACCATCTCATCCTCTGTCGTCCCTTTCTCCTCCCGTCTTCAATCTTTCCCAGCATTAGGGTCTTTTCCAATGAGTCATCTGTACCCATCAGGTGGCTAAAGTATTGGATCTTCAGAATCAGTCTGTCCAATGAATATCCAGGGTTGATTTCCTTTAGAACTGACTGGTTTGATCTCCTTGCAGCCCAAAGGATTCTCAAGGGTCTTCTCCAACACCACAGTTCAAAAGCATCAATCCTTCGGTCCTCAGCCTTCTTTATGTTCCAACTCTCACATCTGTACATGACTA